CAGGATTTTGCAGGATTCTGCAAGGCCTGACTGACCCGGATCTGGATTGACCTGGGTCAGAAGATCCCCGACCCGTCAGCAGAACGCCACCTGCGGGCAGCTGATTCACCAGGCTTTCTCCAGATCTTCCGACCCCCTGTTTTTTTGCAGCGCGGTCCGGCATGGCCGCGGGGTACTGGTAGCCATATGCAACGCAATCGACCCACCTTGGGCGTGCTAGAGAGCGCATGGAACAGTGGATTCAGGTCTTTCATCGCAAGCGCTCCGCGCATTTCGCGGCCCCGCCTGAAGGGAGCCGCTGGACGACGGTGCTCGGCCGTCGGTTGCAACGTTCGCACGGTTCGCACGCCATGCGCAGCTCAGTGTGCATTACGCGGGAAGCCAGAGGCTTTCGATATGAGCAGTAGGAGAGAATCGCGCTTCGGGGAAAAGTGATTCAGAAGTGACGGCAAAAAAAGAGTATCAGTGGATAGATGTTCGGAATTACGAATTGCCAGGACTACCAGGAGGCACATGCTCCGCAAGAACGAGGCAATCGTGTATGCAATCGCAGACCCCTCGCAGTGGGTTCTTGCACTTTTGCCGTGTACAGTATTTGTGATGCAATGTATGGCATGCAATCTTTGTGGTGCAACCTATGTGGTGCACTGCAGTTGACCGCATCCGCGCGTGACCACCTCCAATGCTCGTGCAAACACCAGACCTACCCACCCGCAACTTGCTGGCAAGACTCAACTGGTGGGCTACAACGGCGACAGCGATTACTATGACAATGCTAATCATGATGCTGATACTGATGATGATGATGATGATGATGATGATGACGAGGAGGATGCTGCTGATGATGATGCTGATGGTGCTGATGTTGATGCTGCTGCTGCTGCTGACGATGATAATGAAGATGATGCTGACGATGATGATGATGATGATGCTGCTGCTGATGATGATGATGGTGATGACGATGACGACGATGATGATGATGATGTTGATGATGCTGATGTTGATGATGATGCTGGTGGTGGTGATGATGACGACGATGATGATGATGCTGATGCTGATGATGATGATGATGGTGATGATGATGATGATGATGATGATGCTGATGATGATGATGTTGATGATGATGATGCTGATGCTGCTGATGATGATGATGGTGATGACGATGACGACGATGATGATGATGTTGATGATGCTGATGTTGATGATGATGATGCTGGTGGTGGTGATGATGACGACGATGATGATGATGATGCTGATGCTGATGCGATGATGATGATGATGATGATGATGATGATGATGATGATGATGCTGATGCTGATGATGATGATGATGATGATGATGATGATGATGATGATGATGATGATGATGATGATGATGATGATGATGATGATGATGATGATGATGATGATGATGATGATGATGATGATGATGATGATGATGATGATGATGTTGTGCGTGATGACGTTGGGGCCGACGCCGACGACGGCGATGGTGATGGTATTGAAGCTGATGTGGTCGAATATCGGCCACGATGCCGGGAGCAAACTTTGGCAGACTGCTCGTGTGCGTGCGCACACGGTTGTTTCGTGCCGCATGTTTGCCCGCGGTCGTGAGCGCTCTCGTTCAGTATCGTTCAACCTATGCCCATCCCCCTCGGGCCATGGCATCTCAGCCCCAGTATCACACCGCCCCGGTTAGGGATAGACCCCTCGAAACGCGAAGAGAATAGCCTACATCCCCATCTAGGGGGTTAAATCGGTCGGCCGGTGGAGCCAGGCCACGTCAGTGGGGATGGGGATGGGTTAAACGGTGTTCATCATTGTGCATGAAAACAAAACCTCACCCACCAGCCTCCGATCCGCTGCTTTGGAGTCGTGCCCTGGGGCCTCGAGGATAGGTGGCTATCGCCCCATCACCGCTCATCGCCTTATCTCAGTGCGAAGCCGGTGGCGGGGTCGGGGGGCGGGGGGGGAGGGTGGGAGGGAGGGAGGGAGGGCTGGAGGGAGGGAGTGAGGGGGGGGGTCCCGCCTCGCGAAAGGCGCGGGGAGCCGCAGCAGCCACTCGTACGCCACCACTGGGCCAGGCCAGGGCCACCCATGCGGCGCAGGATGGTGTATACGGACCCTACTGGCCTGCACCCTGCCAGGGGCCCACGGTGACCCTGGGCCGGGCACGGTGGTGGTGCATGTGACGGGTCCATTCTCCGCCACCACGGCCAGAGGAGAAGGGAGGATGTGGAGGTCCTACGCCTCCTCGTGTTCCTCCTCCTCCTCCTCCTCCTCCTCCCGTTCCTCCTCCCGTTCCTCCTCCTCCTCCTCCTCCTCCTACCTTTGGTAGTGGTGGTGGAGAATCGGACCATCGGCGCGGGCGCGCCCTGCGGAAGGAGGGCGCGAGGACTCCGGGCGGCACCTCGCCGCCCCCTCGCCCCGTCCGCGCCCCCCGGGCGGCATGGCGGGCGGCAGGGGTGCATCCCGCAGCCGGACGCCGGCAACTACGGCGGGTGCGCTTTGCCCCCGTTGGCCGCGCCGGCGGCGCGGGCCTCCGGCGCGCCTCCATCAGGAGGGAAAGAAACACACAGACACAATGAATCGTCGACTTCCATGGAAAGTATGGGAAAATATGGGCAGTGGGGGGGAAGACAAAACTCAGAAAATATGGGAAAATATGGGGAGTCTTTTTATTTGTGTGTCCCAGGGCCCCTTCACTCCACCCCTGGGGCTTTCAGGCCCAGGCGGGGCAACCGATGGGAAGTCGTGCAGTGGAGACCCATGCCAAGAAGCACCCTGCTTGCCTCCCGGGTGCCCTGCTGGGCTTCCTGGATGTCGATGGTTCTGCCGTGGAGAGCGCGACACGACCACACCAGAAATCCATGGGCGTCCTGGGCTCTCAGGGTTGGGTTTCTTGTGGAAGGTTTCTCGTGGTTGGGCCCCTACTGCAGGCCACTCGCGTCGCAGGTCTCCGGGCTGTCAGAACGAGCGGGGGGGCCGAGACCTCCCTGGGTCCACGACGTGAAGCATCACGACTTCGGGGGTTTAGGATCGTTCGCTCCTTCCAGCCACAGGGCGTGCAGCGAGGCAGGATGATAGAATTCAAGCACGCTTGAACTCAATCCTTGTAAGTGTTGCGCAACTCCAGAAGTCCTGATCATATCGAAGACGCCTACGGCGAATCACCGCTGGCCCCTGCCTTTTATGATACGTTTATGGGCAGAATTTGGCCAAGCTGTTGAACCATGCGTCCCCTAGCCGTTGTGACAGCCATTCGGGGAACATGTGGGGGAGGAAGAGGAGGCTGAGGAGAGGGAGGAAAATGGAGGATGATGTGAAGGATGAGGAGACCTCTGGTCATTCTTGGGGCCTCCTGGAGCTTCCTGGGGGCCTCTTGGAAGCCTCTTGGGGGCCTCCTTGGGTCTCTTGGGGGCCTCTTTGGCCGTCTTATGGCGTTCCTTGCTCGTCTGGCGCCATCGGACGCCGTCTTGGGAGCCTCTCTGGGCCGACAGGGGGCCTTCTTGGTGCGCTTCAGGGTCGTCTTGGAGGCCACCTCGGGCGTCTTGGGGATCCCTTGGGCCGTCTTGGGACTCTCCCGGGGCCGTCTTGAGAGCCTCTTTGGCCGTCATGGGGCTATCTTGGAGGTCTCTGGGGCGGTCTTGGGGCGATTTTGTTGGGATCTCTTGGGCCGTCGGAAGGCCCAAAAGACGCAAATGCCAAAATCATTCAAGAACCTATGGAATATCAATGATTTGGGCCTCTTCGGGGCTTCTACAGGGCCGCTTGGAGGCTTCTTGAGCCATCTGGAAGCCTCTTGGGGGCTCGGGCCGTCTGGAGGCCATCTTAGGCCGTCTTGAGTGCTGCTTGGGCCGTCTCGGAGACATCTGACCGCAATCTTGGGCTTTCCTGGGCCATCTTGGCCGTCTTAGGGGCCTTCCGAACCGTCTTGGAGGTCACCTTGGTCCCGGCTTGGATGGGGCAACCCACGGGCTGTAAGCTTCTCCTGGGCTTCTGGGCAGCCGGCGCGCTGGGCCGAGACCCCACGGGGAGTTCGACACCACAGCTTTCGCACGCCGTGCATCCCTGTGCTCGGCATCGCTCGGACGTGTGCATTTTTCCTTCGGCGAGGACCATCGAGGAGCATCCTTGATTATTTGGCGAAAAAACCACGCACGAAACCGAAAAAAACACAGGGAATGGACGTCTGAGCGATGGCGAGTGTGGCAGGCGCGGCGGATGACGGAAAGTGCGCGTGGCGTCGCGATCTGTTAGCCGGGAGAGATGACAAGGGGTAGTGTGACGATCCAGCTGTTGGCCTCGGCGGTCCGCTGGCAACACCTGACTGCCCGGCGGTGGACAGACCTCCCTGTAGTAAACCTCCCTTGGTGAAAACGGCCTGGGACCGAAGCCGACGGACCTGGACCCGCAACAATGACGGCCGTGACGCCCTCTCGCGAGCTGGGTTGGCCTCGGCGGTCCCAGATCAAATGGCACAGTTTTCGTCCATGTTCGGCCCTAGACGGCCCACGTCAGCCCCAAGAGCGCCTCAGAGGGCCCCAAGACGGCCCAAGACAGCCCCAGAACCGCCCGAGCTACCTCCAGAGACCCAGGAAAGCCCCAAGACGGCCAGAGAGCGCTCAAGGAGGGCCCAAGATGGCTCCAAGACGGCCAGAAATGCTTTCAAGACGCTCCAGAAAACATTTGAAAGGACGTCCAAGACGCAACAATCTTACCATGCCTTCGTGAAAACATGCGTTATACATATATGTATGTCTGTCTGTCTGTCTGTCTGTCTGTCTGTCTGTCTGTCTGTCTGTCTGTCTGTATGTATGTATGTATGTATGGATGGATGGATGGATGGATGGATGGATGGATGGATGGATGGATGTATGTATATATATATATATATATATATATATGTATGTATATGCGCTTGCATGTATGCATGCATGCATGCATGTATGTATGTATGTATATATGTATGTATGTATATATATATATATACATATGTTTCTTCGGTCTTCACGGCGTTCACGACGGCCCAAGAGGCCCCCAGGATCGCTCCAAAACTGCACAAGAGGCTCCCAAGACGGCCAAACGACGGCCCCAAGACGGCCCAAGAGAGCTCCAACACGGGCCACGAGGGCCCCAAGACAGCCCAAGAAAGGCCCCTGAGGGGCCCAAAGGTCCCCCAAAAACCCCAGAGCCCCAGAGGGCCCCGAGAGGGCCCCAAGACGGCCCAAGTCCTCCAAGACGGCCCAAGAGGGCCCCGACCCGAGAGGGCCCCAAGACGGCCTAAAGGAGTTCCATAAGGACCCCCAAGAAGGCCTGGAGTTGCCAATGCCATGGTTTTTCGCAAGGTAGGCTGTTAGTTTTTCCCAACCATCCTGTGGTGTTGGGTCCTCGTTTTGAAAGAAAAAAAACGCTCGAGCTCCTCTCCTCGTCACCTCCTCCTCGCTCCTCCCACTCCTTGCTTCTGCCCTCTGCACCGTAGGGAGCTCAACCGAAGGTCCCAGGGGTGGAACTCGCATGCGGCTCCCCCCATCAAGTACAGCGTTTCGTGGCCTCATAGGGAGCTACACCGAAGGCCCCAGTGGTGAAACTCGCATGCGGCCCCCCCCACCCAGTACAGCGTTTGGTGGTCCGATAGGGAGCTCAACTGGGAGCCCCAGTGTTGGAACTCGCATGCGGCTCCCCCGCCCAGTACAACGCTTCGTGGCTTCAGAGGGAGCTCCACCGAAGGCCCCAGTGGTGGAACTCGCATGTGCCCCCCCCCATCAAGTACAGCGCTTCGTGGCATCATAGGGAGCTCCACCGAAGGCCACAGTGGTGGAACTCGCATGCGGCCCCCCCAACCACTGCAGCGTTTCGTGGCCCGATAGGGCGCCCCACCGAAGGTCCCATCCCGCGGCCCACATCGCCCACGCGCGCTCTCGCGCGCCACGCGCCACGAGGACCTCCTGCTCATGCGGGCACCGCGCATCGAGTTCTTCCTGGCAGGGCCGCTTGAGGTTTCGCGGAAGTAGCTGGAGCAGTTTGCGGCGCGCACCAAGCGTTGCGAGAGGGAGGCGACGACCCTCGCCAGGGAGCTGGGCTTCACCGAGTTTAATCGCGAGGCTTGACCTGACGAGCGGCCCGCCCGGGCCGCGCCTTCTCTCGACAGTCCAACTTTCTGACTTCGCGCCGCGGACGACCCGCGCGCGTCGCTGAGGCTCTCTCGGGGCGGCCGCGCGTCGCGGGAATTCCGTGTTGCGTTCTGCCGAGCGTCTCGCTTGCCTGTCGTCGCTTGGCCCAGCGGCCAGAGCCTTTCTCGCAATCAGCTAGCCAGCGAGCTCTCTTTGGTCCGCGCGGCGGCCGACCCGTGCACTCCTTCGGGGCGACCGGCGCGCGTCGCGGGGGCTCCGCGCCGCGCTGCGTCCGCAGCCTTGGGCGTCGGCGCGCGCGGTCGCAGAGAGAGAGAGAGAGAGAGAGAGAGAGAGAGAGAGAGAGAGAGAGAGAGAGAGAGAGAGAGAGAGAAAAAAAAGAGAGGAGAGAAAGAGAGAGAGAGAGAGAGAGAGAGAGAGAGAGAGAGAGAGAGAGAGAGAGAGGGTCCGCGGAGGACGGAGCGCTAAGAACAGCGGCGGGCTTTTCAAAGTTCTCACGCGACGGATCCGCATTGCTTGGCGCGGAGACTGGGGGGCTCTGTGGCGCGAGGCGGCCGCCACCGCCGCGGCTGGGGCTGCTGCAGCCAGACGACGGGGCACCGGCCGACCGCAGGACGCCGCGAAGAGCGTGGATACCTTCCTCTCAGAGGGATTGGTTTCCAAGGCCATGTCGTTGGTGACTCGCTCCGCCACGGTGGTCACTGAAGCCAGCGCCCACGGCGAGCTCCAGAACCTCTCCCCCCCGGGCGCGGGCGCCAACGCAGCCGCAGCGCAGCTTCCCGACGACGAGACCACGGCGAAGCTCCTGCGCGCGGTGCGCGAGGCCATCGAGCAAGCCCCGCGGAGGTCTGGCCCGGGCCCCAACGGCTCCCGCTTCGAGCACTGGAAGACTCTCCTTGCCGATTCGGCCGCGCTCGAGGCGAACTGCCGGGTGGCTGTGGCCTTCCTCCTCGGCGTCCTCCCCGGTGATTTGACTGCGGCCAACTTGGGGGCTCGGCTGGAGGCGCTGCGGAAGAAAAACGGGAAACTGCGGCCAGTGGCATGCGGTAGCGTCCTCCGAAGGCTGGCGGCGAAGGCGGCTTGCGAGGTCTTCAAGGATGAGCTGAAGGACGCCAGCGGTCCCCACCAGTTCGCGGTCGGCACGAGGGCGGGCTGCGAGCGGGTTCACAAATGCGTCACCGCTTTGGCCGAGGCGATGCCGGGGGCCGCCGTCCTTGCTTTCGATGCTACTAATGCATTCAATGCCCTGCCCCGGCAAACGGTGCTTGGCGCTGTGAGCCGCCGGGCGCCGAGCCTCCTCCCGGTCGCCAACGCCTGGCTGACGAGGCCGACGACGCACGTTTTCTGGGGCGACCTCGGCACCCCCATGC